TCGACGATGTCGGCGGCGGCATCGACGGCGTCGGCGGCGACGTCGCCGAAATGAACAAAACATGAAAACCGACGTCGTCGACGTCGACGTCGACGACGTCGCTGACTGAAGCAAAACAAAGACGACGCCGACGACGTCGACGACGTCGACGACGTCGACGACGTCGTTGTCGGGAAACCAAGACAACGTCGACGACGTCGTTGTCGAGCAGAAACCCGATCATCGAAAACAACATTCCAAACCATTAGTGGTTTTCGCTGCCTGCCCCGATCGCGCGGCAACTCTGCAATCTGGCCAGAACGGCTGCTCTCTCTCTCTCTCTCTGCATGGTGTTGGTGTTGCTTCTCTACCTGCTGCTACTTCTGCTGTTGTTTGCTATACTGCTTCCGATACGGTTCCACATACCCTTCGCTATCTTGCTGATTATGCTGCTGCTCTCCGTCCACTCATCATCATCATCCTCGCCTCCTCGCCCTCGTTGTCCTCCTCCCTCTCCAACTCATCCTCCTCCTCCCCCTCCTCCTCCTTCTCTTCCTCCTCCTCATCCTCCTCTCCCCCCTCCCCCTTCCTTTGCCCACACAGTGCTTGAACGGGGGAGGGGGGAGAGGAGGAGGGGGAGGAGGGGGAGGAGGAGGAGGAGGAGGAGCAGGAGGAGGAGGAGTAGGAGGATGAGGAGGAGTAGGAGTAGGAGGACGACGATGAGGAGGAGAAATGATGATAAGCTGAACGAGAAGGACTTTTGGATACCATACATGCCTACAAACGTTTGTCAACACAGCCCCAAACGCACGACAAACGTTTGCAAACGTTTGCAAACGTTTGTCGGTGATGAACATATGTCCCAACAAACGTTTGTTTTGAAATCGGTAGCGTTAGTGTCAATTTCGGTAGCGTTAGCATTCGATTTCGGTAGCGTTAAGTGTTAACGCTACCGGAATTCGTCGGTAGCGTTAAGTGTTAACGCTACCGGAATTTTTCGGTAGCGCGCGAGAATCGGTACTACTATTTCGCTACCGGAATTTTTCGGTAGCGGATGATCTGGGTACCTTGGCCAGGAAGGCATATGCATCGATCCTGGGTCAAGGATGGGCCTTGCCAGGATCGGTGCATGTGCATAGTTCTCTTCGCCCGAAATATAAGACCATTTCGGGACCTCCCAAGTACAAGCTTGCCATGAGCCACGCGGGTCCTGAGGGAAACGGGTCCTGGACCTCGGAGGCCTTGCCCGAAGATCCATTCCTCGTCTCAAATCGTGCTCCGGCAATCCCCGGGCCCTCGGGCGCCCTCGGAGACCGGAAAACGGAGAAACATCTCCGGGACCCGCCGATCGATGAACCTTTTGACTTGTTGCCGCCAACCTGTGCTTGTCCACGAAGCCGGTCAATAGGATGCAGGCGATGCAACGCGGGCCGATTCAGGCTGCGTGCCATGGACAGAGCTGAACAGGGTAAACGCACAGTGGACGAACACACGTCCCCCGAGCGTGACCAACCCGGGCGGGGGGAAGTGGCAGTCGGAACTCGTCCGGAAAACACGGTCGTCGGGAACCCGAGGCCCGGCCAAGCAGGCGCCCGAGCATCCCTCGGCGCGCACGCGCCCGCAGCCTAGCCTGAAGTCGAGCGTGTCCCCCTACAGGGGGATTTTGGACGAGAAATTACAAGTACCTCAAAAATACTCCAACATGGTAAACATATTCCAAAAATCGTCCCCATACGAGTTTTGGCTATTTTTCCCAAACTTATTCGGTTGGGCCTACGTTTTGAATAGAGGGGTGTGGTCGCGTCCTCCTCCTCCCGCCCCCCCCCCTGTGGTCGCCGTCCCTGGGGGGCTGCGATCTGCGAAACTGTCGCCGCTTTCGAGGGCTGCTAGTGGGTACAGCGGGGTAAGGCACCGCGGGGATCTGAACGGGACCTCGCCGTCCCTGGGGGGCTGCGATCTGCGAAACTGTCGCCACTTTCGAGGGCTGCTGGTGGGTCCAGCGGAGTGAGGCACCGCGCGGATCTGAGCGGGACCTCGCCGTCCCTGGGGGGCTGCGATCGGCGAAACTGTCGCCACTTTCGAGGGCTGCTGGTGGGTCCTGCGGGGTGAGGCACCGCGCGGATCTGAGCGGGACCTCGCCGTCCAGGGCTGCGATCTGCGAAACTGTCGCCACTTTCGAGGGCTGCTGGTGGGTCCAGCGGAGAGAGGCACCGCGCAGATCTGAGCGGGACCTCGCCGTCCCTGGGGGGCTGCGATCTGCGAAACTGTCGCCACTTTCGAGGGCTGCTGGTGGGTCCTGCGGAGTGAGGCACCGCGCGGATCTGAGCGGGACCTCGCCGTCCCTGGGGGGCTGCGATCTCCGACACTGTCGCCACTTTCGAGGGTTGCTGGTGGGTCCTGCGGAGAGAGGCACCGCGCAGATCAGAGCGGGACCTCGCTGTCCCTGGGGGGCTGCGATCTGCGAAACTGTCGCCACTTTCGAGGGCTGCTGGTGGGTCCTGCGGAGAGAGGCACCGCGCAGATCAGAGCGGGACCTCGCTGTCCCTGGGGGGCTGCGATCTGCGAAACTGTCGCCACTTTCGAGGGCTGCTGGTGGGTCCTGCGGAGTGAGGCACCGCGCGGATCTGAGCGTGACCTCGCCGTCCCTGGGGGGGCTCTGGAGAGCTGCCGTGGGATACGTTAGGCGCCACGGGCGCATGGCACAGCCAACGAAGGTGATTTGTGAAACAGACCATATTCCGGGCGATGGCCATAACGTTGCGCCTACACGTATCCCGCGGGGGCTCTCAAGAGATGCTGTGGGATACGTTGGGTGCAACGGGCGCATGGCACAGCCAACGGGGGTGATTTGTTATTACATAGTCCTTAGATATTGATCGGGGGCCTGCGAGCCTTCCGATTGCTGCTCGCAAAATCACATGCGTCCATGTTACGTCATCGCCCCCGTTGTGGCAATCCTGATATACGCATGCCCCGCATTGCGCAAGGGTTGGGTACGTCGCCAGGGTAATTGAATATTCACACTGTAGAGGGACAGGCCCGACTTAAGCCTAGCGATGGAAGATAGGGTCGTCGAGGTCACCTCAGGACCCGCCTGCTTCATGGCGAGAGCCGCAGACCGCCCCTCGCGCGAGCCGGCCGCGGGCGGCCAAACTCCAGGGGCGGCGTGCGACAGCGGGGGGCGGAGCAGCCCGCGGGGCGAGATTCTCGCGGCCGAGCGCGCAGCTCGCCTCAGGCTCGGGCGGGCGGCAGTGGGGAGTGGCCTGGCTGGGGGGGGGGGAGAGAAAGGGGCCTCGGGTGCCCTTTGAGAGGGCCTCGGGTGGCAGTGGGGAGTGGCCTGGCTGGGGGTGGGGTGGGGAAAGGGGCCTCAGGGGCCCCTTGAGGGCCCTCTTCTTCACCCCCCACCTAGCATCAGGTCGGGCGTCACGTGTCCCCCTACAGGCGGACTCTAGGCGACAGTGAAAAATAGCCCCACCAAAGAATACTCAAGAAGTGTTCGTCCCCAGACAATTTGGTTGACTAGTTTGGGATATTTCTCCTGTAGAAGGGCGTGCCCGACTTACACCTAGCACCCCCAGGTACACTCTGTAAGAGCGGTATTTTGAAGGCAGATCTGCCTTCAAAAAATCGGTCTACTCTGTAAGAACGGTTGTTGGAAGGCAGATCTGCCTTCAAAAAACTGGTCTACTCTGTAAGAACGGTTTTTTGAAGGCAGATCTGCCTTCAAAAAACTGGTCTACTCTGTAGGAACGGTTTTTTTCTGAAGGCAGATCTGCCTTCAAAGAACCGTTCTTACAGGGTAGACCGATTTTTTGAAGGCAGATCTGCCTTCAAAGAACCGTTCTTACAAGGTAGACAGATTTTTTGAAGGCAGATCTGCCTTCAAAAGACCGCTCTTACAGAGTAGACCGATTTTTGAAGGCAGATCTGCCTTCAAAAAATCGCTCTTACAGAGTAGACCGATTTTTTGAAGGCAGATCTGCCTTCAAAACACCGTTCTTACAGAGTGTACCTGGGGGTGCTAGGTGTAAGTCGGGCACGCCCCTCTACAGGAGAAATATCCCAAACTAGTCAACCAAATAGTCTGGGGACGAGCACTTCCTGATTATGAGTATTCTTTGGTGGGGCAGACTTTTTGAAGGCAGATCTGCCTTCAGAAAACCGTTCTTACAGAGGGTACCACACGCCCGACTCGGGCCCTGCCCCCAGGCAGGGCCGCCTGAGGGCGCGCCGCGGCTCGCGCGCAAAGGCCACGGAGCCGGGCCTGCCATGCCGTGCCCTCCGAGCGGAGGGGGCGCTCCTCGCCTCCCGGCCGGGCGTCCGGGGGCGTCCCAGGAGGGGGGCGTCCCAGAGAGGGGGGCAGGGGGCGCAAATCATGACTAGGGGGAAAACAAACCTCCCTCGCTTTTGACGGACTCTTGGCGACAGTGAAAAATAACCCCACCAAAAAATAATCATAGTCAAGAAGTACTCGTCCCCAGACTATTTGTTTGACTAGTTTTGGATAGTTCTCCTGTAGTGACTGCCTACCAGACCACCCCAACCCAACCCGAAGACCCGAATTTCGGGTTGGGGGGGGGGTAAGGGTTCCACGCGTGCTTTTTCGATGTTTCCCAACCCCCCCCCCATTGGAAATCGAGGGTAAATTTGGGCCTTCGGGTTGGGTTGGGGTGGTTTGGTGGGTGGTGACAGAGGGGGGGGCGGGGGGCGCAAATCATGACAGGCGGCACGTGCGCGGCCCAGGGGGGGGGGGCGGGGACGCAGTGACACAGGAAGAGGCGGCATGACATCTGGGGAGATCTCATGGCCCCCGCCATGAGATCCACCACCCCCAAGTCATCACCCCCCTCGTGGCCGCCCCCCGAGGGTGCTGCCCGAGGTGTCCTCCAGTGTGTCCCTGGGGAATCCAGAGGGAGGTCCTGATGGCCTCCCGGAGCACCCCTCTCGAGGCGCAGGGGGGCCCCAGGGGCTCCAGAGTGGCGAGAAAAGCTGGGGGCGCCTTGGGCCAGGACCGCGTCTGGTTAGCAGCACCCGAATTGCACCTGCCTCGCTGTCGGAATGACTCGCGCCCGCGTCGCCCAGACCGCGGCGGAGCGCGATGCACGGCAACACAAATTGAGCTGCCAACTTCGCAGCCGGCCAAGGTCGCCGGGAGACCAGCGGCTGCAAATACGTCAGATCTGGCGCCAGGCAGGCACGGAATGCGCCGATCCCTGGCGGGGCGCCTTGGGCCAGGACCGCGTCTGGTTAGCAGCACCCGAATTGGACCTGCCTCGCTGTCGGAATAACTCGCACCCGCGGCGCCCAGACCGCGGCGGAGCGCGATGCACGGCAACACAAATTGAGCTGCCAACTTCGCAGCCGGCCAAGGTCGCCGGGAAACCAGCAGCTGCAAATACGTCAGATCTGGTGCCAGGCAGGCACGGAGTGCGCCGATCCAAGCAGCAGTGTGACCCACAGCGTTGCGAGATTGAGCACTGCTCACAGTGTCCTCGCTCGCTGACGAAAGCACTGGCAGCGTGGCCGATACCACAGACACTGGCTGGACTCCCTCACGGGCGTGGTCGATCAAAGCTCTGCTGGACATCCTCGCGGGCCCCAGAAGAGGCACAACGAGAGTGCTCGCGAGGCAGATATAGACACAACTGTCGGCGGTGGACAAACCTCCCTTTAGCAAACCTCCCCTTAAGAGCACGGCCGCGACGCCCTCTCGCGAACCGAAAACGGCCAATTCCTTAATCGACGTGTCAGGGTAAGAGGTCTGTCCACCCCCGAGATATAGACACAGCTGGCTGGACTCCCTCACGGGCGTGGCCGATCAAAGCTCCGGCTGGACATCCTCGCGGGCCCCAGAAGAGGCACAACGAGAGTGCTCGCGAGGGGCCGCCGCCTCCTCGCCTCGTGCCTCGCGCTGCGCCCAAGCCGCAGTGCGTCCGCCGAGCGTGTTCATGAAGGGGCCCTGGGACACACAGATAAATACGTACAGATCACAGGATTCCCCATATGTTCCTATACTTCCTGGGTTCTTGTCTTCCCCCCCACTTCCCATTTTTCCTGTATTTTCTGGGGAATCGACGATTTATTGTGTCTGTGTTTTTTCCCTCCTGAAAGTGCAGACGCCCGCGGAGCGTCGCCGAGATCGCAGCAAGGTGCGAAAAAAAGGCCATCGTGGAAGTCCGCACGGCCGGCTGCGTGGGCGACGCCAGGCACGAGCGGTCCGCTAGAGAGGCTGGGGCGGCCCGGAAGCGAGGCGTGAGCGGCCTCGCGATGCGAGACGTGAGCGGGGCCGCACAACGCGAGACGCGAGACGTGAGTCGTCAGCGACCGCGCGGAAGACTGCTTTTGTTTTCCCAGCCCTCCTGCGATTGGGTTCTCGTCTTGGGTCGAGCACGGTGGTCGCGGCTCCTCCTGCCTCCCTCCTCCGTCCGCCTGCTCCTGCGCTGCTCCGCGGGCGGCTGCGAACTGCACAACCGTCGCCACTTTCGTGGGCTCCTGGACGGCACGACGGAGTCGGGGAGTACGCGCACCCAGGCGGGACCCCGCGGCTCCCTGGGGGGGCTGCGAACTGTGCAACCGTCACCGCTTTCGTGGGCAACTGGGAGGCCCAACGGAGTCCGGGGGCCACGAGCAGCTGGGCGGGGCCTCGCTGCTCCCTCGGTGGCTGCAGATTGCGCAACCGTCACCTCTTTCGCGGGCCACTGGGAGGTCCAGCGGAGTCCGGGCCACGGGCACTCAGGCGGGACCTCGCAGCCCTTGGGGGGGGCTGCGAACTGCGCAACCGTCACCACTTTCGTGTGCGACCGGGAGCTCCAGCGGAGTCGGTTGTCGCGCGCACCCAGACGGGACCTCGCTGCTCCCTGGGTGGCTGCGAACTGCGCAACTGTCGCCACTTTCGCACGCTCGTGGGAGGCACGGCAGAGATGAGGGCAGCGGAGATCGTGCATATCTGGCGGTGGGTTATTTTGTACGGAATGTTCATGCATATATTCGCCTCGCTTGGAAAGGGGGTTGGGTACGTCTCGGGCGATTATCTGTATATGAATGATCTGTCCAGGAACGGCCGTTAACCCCGGGGGGAAGACCGTCGGGCCCCGGGTAACGGCAACCGGGAACACTTGGGCGGGCCGGGGCACGTCGGGGCGGGGGTGTGCTGCGATCGCCGCGGTATGCGCGCGGGCACCATCACGTGTGGGGGGGTCCAAAGCTCGCGCCCCCCCCCTGCGTACGATGGTTACCGTTACCAGAGGGGGGCGGGGTCTGGTCCAGGTAACGGCCGCTGCGCGCCAGAGGATGCAAACAAAAAACCATCTCCGAGCGGGTTGGAGCCCGGGACGCCGAGCTCGAGCCGTGCACGCGCGCCGGGCCGCGTGGCCTGGACAACAAAACTTGCCAGTTGGTGCTCTGGGCCTTCATGCCTGTCACGGCCAAGAGTAACCCTGGGCAAGAGTCCTGTAGTGAGCATCGTTTAGCCCATCCCTATCCTCACTGGCGTGGCCTGGGCCCCACTGGCCGATTTACCCCTGGGGTGGGGATGTGGGCGGTTCCCTCTGGGGGGCAGATCCCCGACTGGGGTGATGGGATGGTGGGGATCGGGATGGGGATAGGGATAGGGATCGGCGGATAGACGATACTGGTGTACACGCGAAAGGGCGGCCTTGGGCAATCGCGGCCCCCGGCGCGCGGCCTCTCGATAGCCGCACGCGACCCGGCAGCGACGGCCCGCGTGTCTGGGCCCCTCGCGCGCCCCGAAAGCCGCCCACCGCAGGCCCCCAACGGCGAAGAGGCCTTCACGCTTGCGCTCAGCCGAACTCTTCGGACCCGCCACTCGAAGCTCACTGTGCTTCTGGCCCCTGGCGAGCCGGGGCAGATGGGCCTGTTTTCCACCACCACCTCCATGAGTTGGAGGGGGGATGGAGGAGGAGGAGGAGGAGGAGGAGGAGGTGGAGGAGGAGCCCCTCCCCCTCCAACTTGTGGTGGTGCTGGTGGAACACCAGCCCAGCAGTGGCGAGAGCGGCGAGGGAACTGAGCCGCGGGCATGGGCGCTCCGGGCCCCCCACTTGCGAGGCGCCACCTCCCGCCCGGCCCCCGGGAGAGGCCGGGGCGGCCCCCGCCCGCGCCACCAGAAGAGGCCGCGGGGCGGGAGCGCGCAGGAAAGCAAGCGGGCCGCAGTCGGGCCGCACCCTGCACGCCAGGCCTGGCCGAGGCCGCAGCGGCCTCGGCGGCCCCGGCGCAAGAGGGAAGGAAGAGTGGCGCGTTGAGGGGCCCGGCCACGTCACGTCCGGCGGGCCTCGGCAGGGTCGTCGCGACCTGCTGCCTCGTCGCAGCTGCTCCCCCCCTCCACGCCCTCGAGACGAGAGCGGGACAAGGGAACCTCTGAGAGCCGGCGGGCCTGGTCTGCAGGATGTGCCAGGCGCTGCGGCCGTTTCAGAAGGCCCCGGAACGCTCTGGAACGACTCATCCGCTTCCTCGGCCCGCCTCTCCGACCCACCTCCCAGGACCCCCTCGAGTAATGACAAACGTCACGAAAGCCGGTCATGGGGAAAGGGTCGGGACCTCTGGGGGTCGACGTAATGAACAAATCATTACGTCGGGGTCTGGGTCCCCCTCCAACCATGCCTCGCTGAAGATCGGCCCCTGGGCACAACTTGACCACCCTGCGCGTGGCTGCGTGAGCAGGGTCGAACTCCACGTGAGGAACGGGCGCAGCCGACCGCTCAACAGCCGAGGCCAGGCAGTGCAACACCCAAAGGCGCACAACACAAGCACACAGACAGACAGACAGACAGACAGACAGACAGACAGACAGACAGACAGACAGACAGGCAGGCAGGCAGGCAGGCAGGCAGGCAGGCAGGCAGGCAGGCAGGCAGGCAGGCAGGCAGACAGACATTCACACACACATGCACACACGCACACACACACACATATACACACACACACACGCACACACACACACATACACGCACAAGCACACACACACACACACATACACACGCACAAGCACACACCCCACACACACACACACACACACACACACACACACACACATTCACACAGACACACACGAAATCTCCTTCCCCGCTCCCTGAACCGACAGACAGCTTCGCTGCCCCACCTCTTCTCCTCTTCTCTTCATCGCCTCTCCCCTCCTCCCGCTCGCCAACAAAAAGGACAGCGCTCTCTTTGCGCTGGGGAGCTCTTTTCCCCTGCAAGGCGCAGATTTAGAAAAATGCGCGGCTCCGGCACCGCGAAGGCGTGATGCGCAAATCGCCCGCGCGGTTAGACGTGCGGCGCGGGCTGATCCCATACGGCAGACTCGCGCCGTGACACTGGCGACTGGCTTATTAACGCCGCGTGGATCGCCCAATGCTGAAACATCGCGGCCTCCCGATAACGATTGGCGGTGGACAAACCTCCCTTTAGTAAACCAACGTTTAGTGAAAACGGCCTAGGACCGAAACCGACGGACCTGGACCCGCAAAAATGACGGCCGCGACGCCTTCTCGCGAATCGAAAACGGCCAGTTCGCTATATAATCGACGTGGCAGGGTAGGTCTACCAACCTCCGAACTTAGCGCGGACCGCTCGCTGTCGGCCGCGTCCTGGACCGCTCGATGCCAGACGACTGCAGGCTTGGGTCGGGCATGTCCTCCTACAGGCGGATGTTGGACGAAAACATAAAAGTAGCCAAATAATAACCCAACAAATCGCCAAAAATACTAAAACAAATCGCCCCCTGACTGTGTTTTGACTATTTTCGAATATCCCTCCTGTACAGGGACAGTGAAGGGGCCCTGGGACACACAAATAAATAGACACAAATAACAGGATTCCCCATCTTTTCCCACATTTTCTGGGTCTTCGTCTTCCCCCCCACTGCCCATATTTGCCTATGTTTTCTGGGGAATCGGCGATTAATTGTGTCTGTGTGTTTTCTTCCCTCCTGGTCAACTCCCAGAGCCCTGGCGGCGCGTCGACCCGGAGCGCGCGCGCGCGCGCTGGCTCCGCCGCCGCGCCGCCGCGCCTGCAGAGCCGACCCGCCGCGGGCCTCCGTGCGAGTGGGGGCCCTGGGACACACAGATGAGCAGACGCAAATGGCAGGAGGTCCCCTAATGATTCTCCCATGCTCGCTGGGCTCGTGTCTTCCCCCCCCCCCACTTCACACATGTTCCCGCACTTTTTTCTGGGGAATCGACGATTCATTATGCCTGTGTGCCTTTTACCTCCTGACTGCAGACACAGACAACAGGATTCCCCAGACACGTCGGTCGGAGGAAGTAGGTAAACACGTGAAGTAGGAAGGCGGGTAAAGTAGATTGGGCCCAGGCCCTCCCAGAGAATGACAAAAACAGCAGAAGCTGATGGCTCTTGAAATAGAGAGGTGCTAGAAATAGATTGGGATCACATCTACCTATTTTCAACGACCGGCGTGTAATTATTCTCCCATGCTTTCTGGGCTCTTGCCTTCCCCCCCCTTCCCATAGTTTCCCACACTTTCTGGGGGATCGACGATTCATTATGCCTGTGTGCTTTTTCTGGAGAGTCGGCGATCCATTATGTCTGCGTGCTTTTACCTCCTGACTGCGGGCCTTCCGAGCCGCGGGGGCGTGGGGAGAGCAGCCCCGCGGCGGCGCTCGACCCCGAGAACGCGCGCGCGCGCGCGTCGCCGTCGCGGCGGCACAGCGCGAACCGACCGCACCCTGTCTCGGGGGGGGGGGAGGGGGGGCGATGCACGGGGGCGGGCGAGAACACGCGTGCACCTGTCGTGCCCCTCGAGGGCCCCGCGGTGCCCCTCTGGGGCCCCCGAGGGCGCCCGTGAATGGCACATCTCTTCACCCCCCCCCCTTCCGTGGTGGCTCGCCCCCCCCCCCCCCCCAGCACGCAGGGCCCGGACACTCTGTGGGCGTGCCGAGCCGGAGAGAGAGAGAGGCGTGGAGAGCGCGGCCTGGGGACGGGGGCGAACAAGTCTTGGCATCAGGTCGCGCCTGTTCCCCTCGAGGCGGATCTTGGACGAGAAATGGGAGATTGCAGAAGCAGAAGCAAACAACAAGAACCAAACATGGTGACTAGAATCGTCCCCTGACCATTTTCCTGAGGGCGACAGAACCTGGACCCTGGGCCTTCCCCCAGGGTGAGTTTTCATCCTGAGCCGTCGTCTGCCAGCCCCAGAGACCGCGGAGGGCCCCGAGGGCCCAAACACGGCAAGGAAGAAACCTCGGGACCAGTTCCCCTCAGGACCCGCCACCCCCTTGGGCGCGAAGGTAATGGAGGGGCGACAGATCACTTGGGAGAAAGGTGCCCTCTTCGGGCCCGAGAAAGGCCCCCTGCTGGGTCCTACAGGGCCCCTTTTAGTCGGCGGTGGACAAACCTCCCTTTAGCAACCCACCCTTTATTGAAAACGACCTAGGACCGAAACCGACGGACCTGACCCGCAAAAATGACGGCCGCGGCGCCCTCTCGCGAACCGAAAACGGCCAGTTCGCTGATCGACGTGGCAGGGTAGGAGGTCCATCAACCTCCGCTTTAGGGGCCCTGCAGGGCCCGTTTTCGGCAGCCCTCGCTGCCCCCCCCCCCCCCCTTTATCGCAGCCCTAAATAGCGCGGCCTCCAACCCCCATGCCGGGGCTTCGTAAACGGAGGTTTAGCTGAACGGGGGTTTAGGCTCTTCCATCTGCCTCCGTTCACTGTAACCCCCGTCTGCGGCGCAGGGCCCCCTCCCTAAACGGGGGCATAGCCAAACGTGGAACTCGGCTTCTGTTGCTCCCATCGTATTTAAGGGCCACTTTCCCAGAAATAATTTCGAGCACCCGTAGAAGTGTCGAAACAGTGTCGAACGAGTGTCGCCTCCCAGGGCCCGACACGCGAACACCTTCAAGTTTCGGTACTCCTGGTGCTCGAAGTTCTCTCTGGTGGTCAAGGCTAAGAGCAGGTTGGAGCATCATAAAACTTGGCGTTCCCCTTGCCCCCGTTTGCTGTGCCCAGGGACCCTACAAAGGACGTGCGTGCCCAACCATGTACATGAACACGGCCCCTCGATCCGCGAGACCGCCCGCGTGATACGACCAGTCGAACACGGCATACTCTCGAAACGTACGTGGATCCATGTACGTGTACGTCCTTCTGTCGCGCCTGAGTGCCCCCGTCCCTGGCGCCCTGACCACGGCGGCGAGCGTCCCCACCGGGCCCGCCGCAGCAGGGACGCGGGGGCCCGGCCGCGACAGGAGGCCGCTGCGCCCTCGCGGGGGGCCGGCGCGCCGAGGAGGCGCTCTCCCATTGGGGGCAGGAGGTGCGGGGCGGGGACTCCGAGGGGGCCCTGGGACACACAGATAAACACACACCAATAGCCAGATTTCCCATGTTACACACACGCACCAATAGCCAGATTCCCCATGTTTTTCCATGCTTTCTGGGTTTTCGCCTCCCCCCCACGCTCCCATACTTCCCCATCTGCGTTTCACTGCTCGCAGAGCAGTTTTTTCGGACGTTTGCGAGTCGTGGAACGCGCCCGGTGAAACATGCTCGCGGCGTACAATCCGATGCAGGACTGAATAAGATCCTTCCAGACCATGGGCCTTTCTGCTGGCCAAGACACACATAACTTCCGAGGGTGCAGTCGGAGTGGAGTGGAGAGGACACTCGAGAGGACACAAGACCCTTCCGATGGCCACATTGCCAGTTGAATGTGGAGGGCATGGGTCGCGACAAGGGGTCGACCCACTGATCAAACTCGACTGTATCCTCCCAGGATGCACAAGAACATCCAGCAAACACCTCCCCGAACCGACCTCGATCTTATACCTCGGTCCTGCTGCAATAGAGCCATGACTCGAATATTGAAGGGACCCTGGGACACACAAATAAATAGACACAAACAACCGGATTCCCTGTATTTTCCCATGTTCCGGGGTTTTGTCTTCCCCCCCCCCCTTTCCATATTTTCCCACATTTCCTGGGAATCGACGATTCATTGTGTCTGTGTGCCTTTTGCCCCTCCCGAAACATTGCGGCCATTGGGGGCCTCCAAGGGGCCCTCGTCGGGCCGTGGGGTCGGGCCATGGGGCCGTCAGACCACGACTCGGGATGCAGCACGGGCCCCTGGGGGCAGGGGTCGGGACTGCCGAGGGCCCCGCGCGGAACACAATCGGCACACACCACATGCCTGGGCTGACGTCCTGCGACCCCAGGGGGCGGTGGATCTGTCCACCGCCCGCGCCGAGGTCCCCGAAGATCAACCCCCCGCCTCGGAGAAGGGGCGGAGGGGGTGGCAGGATATCCGAACGCCTCGAGTCGGGGGCTCGGATGGGATCGGAACGCGCGTCGGACTGGGCCGCATCGGTACGGGGTTGAGATCGGGTTGGATCGGCTGCGCCACGATGCAAACCAGCGCCAAGCGAGCATCGGGCCGCACCGAATCGGGGGAACATGCTACTCCGGATCTCACGATAGTTGGGGGGGTTCAACAGAATGTTTTGACGGCTCGTTCTGGCCCCCCCCCCCACACGATTTGCATTACAACCCGAAGTAGACCCCCTTGGGAGGCAAGCGAGGGTCCAAAATCGAAACCCACACGTGCCTCCCAAGGGGGGTCTCGATTTTGGACCCTCGCTTGCCCCCCTTATTATGAGATCCGGAGAAATCGAAGCGGCTCGGGCGGCTCGACATCGACGCTGGGTGGCGCCGCTTGACGCAGCGGGCGGGGCCTGCCCGCTGCGTGCCCCGAGGCGCCTCGGCCGCGGGAGGGGGGGGGCCTGGCAGCAGCGAGGCAAACTCGGCGGTGGACAAACCTCCTTTTCGTAAACCACCCTTTAGTAGAGGGCAGAAAATCCACCCCCACAACGACCACCCCGACACGCGAGGCCTTTACCAAACGCGCCCAAAGAAAGAATCGAATAGGGCGAGGCTGTTTAGTAAACGCCCAGGGCCGTTTAGTAAACGCCAATTGTCCAGTCCGAGTGGTATTCCCTCCCTTGGTTTAATGAAAACGGCCTGGGACCGAAACCGACGGACCTGGACCCGCAAAGACGGCGCGGCGACGCCCTCTCGCGAACCGAAAGCGGCCAATTCGCTAATTGACGTGTCAGGGTGGGAGGTCCATCCACCTCCGACAAACTAAGGAGCCATCTGCATGCAGCCCACTTTCCCAGCCTTTACAGGCGCCCAAGACAGGGGGGACGAAAGGTACCACCACAGCTACTCCAAAGGACCTCTCCAGGGATGCGTACGATGTCAAGGCGAATCCAGCCGTGGCGACGAGGGGAGGGCAGCGGTATCGGTCTCTCCCTCTGCTGGGAGACAGCCGCATGCGCGTATCGGGGTGCAGGAGACGGTGGCAGGCGGGGAAGCCGCAACGGACTGCGCACGGCAGATCTCGTACGTACCCCATGTCGCCCCGCCCCGAGCCAGGTGGGGAGGGGAGAGGCAGAAACCGAGCGGGGCGAAGGCGGGGATACGCAAGAGAGGCACATCCTGCAAACGCGGCGGGACAGAGCCGGGCAGTGTGCCCAAACCTGTCTAACTGCGGGCGCCCAGGGTCGGAGCAGACAATGAGCCAGCGCAGCGCTGTGCCGGGTCAGCGACAACGGCTGAATGCCCCCAAAGGCGGCCCAGCACAGCACGCGGGAACAAAGTCCGCCACGGGCACTACAGGTTAGTAAGGCGGACTAGTCCCGAATCGGCACCAGCCCAACGCTGCGACAGTGCGAGGATCGCGGCCAGGCCCTGCACCGCTGCCACGGAGATGTCGATCCCAGCCGCGCCAGCCGCGCGCCCCGCGAACTCCAGGCGCCCGTGCCACGCCCGATGAAACTCGGCGGCCGCCTTGTGCGAGGTGAAGTTGAGCAACGCAATGCCCCGGTTCCTCCCAGAAACGAAGTCATGCGGCACATAGCAGAAGTCCACCCTGCCGGCGAAGCCAGAATTGTGGACCTGCAGGCCTCCCGAATGGATTCCGAGTGGATGGGGTCGGAGGATCGCGCCGCATCGCCGATTCATCGGCGATGTGGGCGTGAAGCTGTGCTGCGATCCTCCGACCCCACCTGCTCGATCCCCATTTGAGGGGCCTGGAGGACTTCCTCCAGCAAGATGCGCTGGCTCACCTCCGGGGGCAGGTTGCGCAGCATAAGGGTGGTCACCCCACGAGGCAGCAGCGACTGCCTCATCTGAAAGGCCGCCAGCCCTCTGCCCGCCTGCGCCCCCTCGCCACCCTGCTGCTCGCCTCCGCCCTGCCGGCCTGCGCCCCCGCCTCCGCCCCCGCCTCCGCCCCTGCCCGCCCGCGCCCCCTCGGTCGCGTCCGCCTCGCCAGCTCGAGCGCAGCCGCGGCCCCGCTCCGCAGACCCCGCCTCTGCCGCCTCGAGGGCCGACGCGGCAACCCGCACGGCAGGCTGCAGGCCGTCGGCGCCGCCCTCCGCCCTGGCGACGGCACCTGCCAGCACGCCGCGAGCTGCCGCTGGGCCCTGGCCGCCGCACGCTGGCGCTGCGGGCTGTGCTGGCGGCACGGCCGCCCCCCGCGGCGCCGCCGCGCCGAGGAGCGCGCCCGGGGCCACGGCCAGCCCGCGGTCGCGGGGCGCGCACCAGAGCGCCTCGGTGTCGCTCTCCGTGTCCCACAGCGGCTCGGTGTCGCTCTCCTCGCGGGGCGCGCCCGCCCGCTCGGCGCCGCCACGCGCCTCCGACGCGAGGCCCCCGGGCGCCAGTGTCGAGCCGTCGCTCGAGACGACGGAGGCGTCCTCTTCGGTGTCGCTCTCCGTGCCTGGCCACGGCTCCGGCACGCTCTCCTCGCGGGGGCCGCCCGCCAGCTCGGCGCAGCCCGGCGCCTGCGAGGTGCTGCCCTCGGGCGCCAAGGTCGAGCCGTCGCCCGCGGCGACGGCGGCGCACGCGGCCGCGCCCGGCGAGGGGGCGCGGCGCTCACTGCCGCGCATCGCCGCGAGGCCGTCGAGCGACAGCAAGAGATGCTTGGGCACGCACCTCATGGAGGAGGCCCGGTGCACGCATGTGCACGGGCCCCGGCCCCGCCCTCGACCCTCCGGGTCGGTTGGCGCCCTCCTGGGCCCGGCCAGGGGGCATCAGGAGCAATCCTGTCCCTGGCCATATAGATGGACCCTGGCCAGGGCTGGTGCACACCGGGTCCCGTCGCCCAACACCTAGAGGCCGCCAAACCACCAGGGCAGGCGGACCGCAACGCTTCGCCTACACATCGGCGATGCACCCCCAACCCCACGATCAGGTCTTCCTTGTTCGCCCCTTCTCTGCACGATGCTCATCCCGACTCGTCTTCTGACGGCCCCAGGGCCCAGCGAGGGCCCCCGGAGGCCGAACACTGGCAAAACCCGGGCGTCGTGTTTTTCTCCTGACCCGACGGGGTCTGGGTCTCTGCCCCGCGGGCTGGCCTAGCCCCCGCCCAGGGATGCCTGCCGCCCTCTTCGGGCCCCGCGGCCCCGATCCCCACCCATAGAGGGGGAGGGGGGGGGGGGAACGCTGGGAGAGCGATGCAGCATTCGGCTTGACCTCAGGAACGGCAAATAAGGAACGACGCCCCCCTTTTTCCGAGTGAGTCTAGGAAGTCTGAAGGAACACCAGGGGGGCTCGCCGCAAAACAGGCAGCAGAACGCATGCAAACCAAAGGAACGACCGAGCCCCTTTTGAACAATAAAGGTTCCTTATTCAAGCCGGACCCTGTAACTTACCGTGTCCTGGTCGGCAGGTCGCCCGATCTGGACGTTGCAATTTTTGCAAGCCGATCCGGACGTTGCCATTCTTGTCAAGCCGGGCCCCGCAATCACAAGCCGATCCGGCTCGAAAAAGGGCGCAGAAAGATGGGGTGGTCTAAGTGGGCCTGCAGGCGAGCCAGCACGCCTCGCCACTGCTTCTTGAACCACGCCGCACCGCCGATGCGTCGGCCGTGCGGCACAGTCCTCCTTGGATGCATCGGCGATGCGGCAAGGTCCTCTTCGGACGGGCGGCCAGGGGGGGTGACCTGAAGCCGCCCGAAGTCCACTGGCCCCTCCGACCTCTCCCGGCTCTGGCCCGACTTCGCGAGCGGCCTGGAGCACCCGGAGTAGCTGCGGCTGCGCTTCGCAGCACAGGGCTGCTCGCCAAAGACCTCAGGGGGGATGGAAAGAATCCGTTGTGGGCCTTCATGGGCCCACTGTAGACCTCCACGGCCCTACCACACACGTGCTTTCGACTGGGTTTCGTCCAGATTTCAGCCACCCCCCTCTTAGACCCTTTCGCCCGCATTTCGTCCGAGCTTCGCTCGGATATCGACCGGATCTGCAGAGATCCGGACAACATTCCACCAAACTGCCAGGAATCTTCCCAGACATGCGACGCCCTGATTTTTTCAGGATGGCGTCCCCGGAGACCCGACCCTTTCCCCGGGACCGGCTCTCCGTCCGGAATCGTGTCTCCATGGACGGCGCCGGGGCCCGGCGAGGGCCTCCGGGGGCCGAAAGCGGCGACAAACGTGCCGTCCTGATTTTTGTCACGACGCGATCCTGTCTGGGTGCCCCCAGCCTCACACCGCGCGGGCGGACTGCGCACGCGCTGCTGCCTCCCAGGGCAAGGCCCGCCCCGAATTCGGCCCCTGCTGCGGCCGCAGGGAGCCTCGCGAAGGCCCGGCTCGTCGTGGGGGGGCCTCCGCGGGGCCGCCTCCTCCTCGCTCGCGAAGGCCCCGAGGCGTGCTGCCCGGGGCCGGGCACCGCACGCAGCCCCAGAGACCCAACGTATTTGAAGGGGCCCACAAACACACAAATAAATACACATAAATACAATGATTCCCCACTATTTCCTAATACTTTCTATGTTTTTGTCTTCCCCCCCACTTCCCATATTTTCTGGGGAATCGACGATTAAGTGTGTCTGTGTGTTTTTTCCCCTCCTTAGTATTGAAAAGAAAGATCAAGACGGACGTTATTCGCAATGCCACTATAGGGGCCCTCACTGGGCCCCGGGAGCGTCAAAAAGCGACTCGGGATGAAGAACCGGTCCTGGGGAATGGGTCGACCCTTCCGGGGACCCCGTATTGAAAAAATCACGACATCGGATCTCTGGGGCTTGGGCGTGGGGGTCATAGATGGGGGGGTCGGAAACGGTCCCCTTTCCTGCCCTTTTCGGGCCCCTCCGGAGCCCCAGGGGGCTCGTTCAGGTACCGTCTGGGGTACCTTTTCGGACCACCCTCGCCCCCCCCCCCCCCCAGTTATGACCCCCCCATGACGCGACGCCTGGGAGGCCGCTGTGCGATCGCACCCTCTGGATGTATGCAGCGCCCTCCCCTGGCTGGGCGATCCTGAGACGAAGCCAGGACGAGGATGACATCGGACGAGGGCGAAACGCGCATCTCTGAGATCCGCTCTGGACGACGTCTCGGGCGCCGCGGCCTTCTGGGAGCGCTCCGGAACGCTCGGCCAGCACGCTCTGGAACTGATGATCTCCATCCTCGCCCCAGCCCCGTCCAAAGTCCGCCCCTGTTGCAGGCGCCGAGCTCGGACCCGGACCTCTGCGAAGACTGCCGCCCGGTCTGGCAGGGAGTTGGCCCGCGGGGGCCTGGCACTTGCCGCCGAGGAGCGCCAGGCGATGCTCGGCGAGGGCGAGCGCCATGGGGCTGGCCGTGGTGTGCGGGGAGGGTGGCGGGGGCTCACCAGAGGCTCAAGGACCACCAGGAAGAACGATCGATGATCGAGGACCACCAGAGGCTCGAGGGCCGCCAGAGCGAAGGGTAGAGGATCGAGGATCCACCGAGGATCGAGGAGCGTCGGTGATCGAGGAGGGTCGAGGATCGAGGGGGAGCCTCGACGAGATTGAGGGATCGAGGATCGAACAGCGTCGATAGATTGGACCATTGCTGGGCAGTGTCGGCCCGTGCTGGGCCTCTGGAGGCTTCGGCCTTCCATCATGGAATTATGGCCCACATTCCGAACGCGTTCGTCACCTACGGACGGACCCTCCTACATCCTGTAACATGACGGCTATTCAAGAACAATTACTCCGACGGAAGAACCCCGCATGAGAATCCTCTGGGCGAATCTGGAAAAAACCATCACCGTCGTCCTCGTGGTTGGTGAGGCGTCCTGGCCGTCTCTTCTGCGTATATTTCCTCTCGCCTTGGCGCGGGCCCCCCTTCCACTCCTTACGTTGTCCCCATCCTCGCCCCCCTGTTTGTTCCTCGCCCCGCCACCTCCTCCCCTTCCTGTTGCATGAGCGCGCATGTCGACGTTCCTCGGCGCCGTCGCCGCCACGGCCAGCACAGGCGCGTTCTCTACTGGTCACGTCGCGCAGCCGTTGGGACAAACCCGCGGGCCACGCTGTCGGGGCAACCCCGCGAGCCGCTGGCGCGCAAGACCAAGCCGTTGGGACAACCCCGCGGGCTTCGAGCGAGGCGCAGCCGCGCTCAGGCGGAAGGCAGCACGAAGCCCAGCTCTGCCGCGAGCTGCTTCGCCTCCGCCCTGGACAAAACCGCTCGCTCTCTTGTCGAACTCCAGGAGCGCCTTCCGCGGGGACGCCGGCGGCCCGCACCCCAGGAACTCTCGCGGCGGCGGCCGCAGGATCAGCATGTTCCGCATGCGCGTGGCGCGGGGGAACATGACGTAGAGGTGCAGCCACCACTGCTCGTCCGACATGCCCGTGCGGCCAGCGTCCTCGTCTCTCGCGCAGTCGATGGTGACGCCCTTGCGCAGCGTCTGGCCCTGCGACAGCGTGGAGGTCAGGTAGGACGCGTGCGTCAGGGTGAACCCCGAGCGGCGCACGCTGTGCGCCCCCGAGCTCTGCCATGTGAACTCCCTTTCGCTGGGCCTGAACATCAGCAAGCTCCGCGCCCGCGCCTCGGCCTGGCCGTCGTCGTCGGCGCCTTCGGCGCCCTGTCGCAGCACCTCGGCGACCTCCTGGTAGATCGGAGACTCCTTGAAGCCGTGCACCTGCAGCCAGATTCCCTGCGGTAGGAAGCGGGGGCGAAAGAGCTGGCCTGCCGAGCACTCCTCGTAGCGCTGCTCGTCCTCGTGGTGGAACCCGAAGGACACGATGGTGGCCCGCTGCTCCTGCACGAGCCCCAACTTCTTCTTCAACTCCTCCTGCGCTGCCGTGAACCGCACCTCCATGCCGACGTGGGCCGGCAAAACGCAGTGGATGTCCCCCGTCTTGTGCATGTTCGGGACGTTCAGGAGGCGCCGACCCGCGTCGGGCTCGCCCTGAATCATGCCGCACTCGTCAACGGCCTGCAGGAAAACAAAGGGCACGCCCAGACGAGGCTCCCGCCTGAGACTTCCTCCAAATTCAGGCTTGAGGAGCCCAAAAGTGACGACAATTACAAGATTCCTATGACCCGCTCGGATTACCAACATGATCTGCGGGCCCCATAGGGAGGGGGTTCCCGCCTGAGACTTCCTCACAATTCACTCAGAGACGAGGCTCCCGCCTGAGACTTCCTCCAAATTCAGGCTTGACGAGCCCAAAAGTGACGACAAATACAAGTTTCCGATGACCCGCTCGGATTACCAACGTGATCTGCGGGCCCCATAGGGAGGGGGCTCCCGCCTGAGCCTTCCTCAGAATTCACTCACAGACGAGGCTCCCGCCTGAGACTTCCTCCAAATTCAGGCTTGAGGAGCCCAAAAGTGACGACAGTTACAGGTTTCCGATGACCCGCTCGGATTACCAACATGATCTGCGGGCCCCATAGGGAGGGAGCTCCCGCCTGAGACTTCCTCCCAATTCACTCACAGACGAGGCTCCCGCCTGAGACTTCCTCCATTTTCAGGCTTGACGAGCCCAAAAGTGACGACAGTTACAGGTTCCGATGACCCGCTCGGATTACCAACATGATCTGCGGGCCCCATAGGGAGGGGGCTCCCGCCTGAGACTTCCTCACAATTTACTCAACGATGATGAGGATGAGGATGATGAGTGGTGGTGAAGATGAGTGGTGAAGAGGATGATGATTGATTGTGAGTGGTGGTGGCGATGATGATGTTTGAATGAGGATGATGCCGATGCCGATGATGATGATGATGATGATGATCGTGAGCGTGTGAGAGAGTGCGAGTGATGATGATGATGAGTATGTGAGTGACTAAGCATGTGAGAGAGCATCATCAATGATGCTGATGAGGTTGATGATGAGAGAGTGTGAGTGAGTGTGAGTGGGTGTGTGTGTGTGTGTTCCTGTTCCTGCGCGGGGTGTCCAGAGAAAACAAGAACCCCACTTTGGATGTGGGGAAAAATGCTAAAACGAATCACGGTGCCAAGCATGGCGATGTAAGGGCGCCTGGAAGCCGCCCAAGGAGGACTGAGGATGCCCGGGCATCCGAGGACGCCAGGAGAGCCAGGAGCCAAGGGGAGTGAGGATCCTGCGGCTCATGGGTTCAGCCTTGTGATCGATGTTGGCTGATGTTCACTCGGATATGCTTGTGAAGGCATTTGGGCCTCTGGCTCTCTGGGCAGTGGCCCCGGCGGGGGCTGGCGGACGAGGCCGGCGGCGGCGCTCTCGAAGCGATGGCGCGGCACGGCGCCGGCTCGGCCACCGAACGACCAACTTGAGCGAAGACGGCCATCGAGAAACGAGGGGGGGGAGAAGGGCCAGGGAGCGAGGGGCACGGGCAGGGGAAGGGGGGACGAGGCGGAAGAAGAGGAAGGCGAGGCCCGCGAGAACGAGGAGTCCGCGGAGGAGCAGCAGCACAAACGATGGGGGAGCCGGGCCATGGAGAGGCAGGCGAGCAGGGGGCGGCAGGGGGAGCACCCGACGCCAGCGGGCCTGCAAGGCATGCCGACTCGAAGACGGCGGCGGCGACCGTCGGCGAGGTGGACACGGCGGCAGCGGCGACCGTCGGCGAAGGCGGCGGCGGCGGCGGCGGTGGCCGCCGCGGCCTCTCGGTGGTGGCGGGCTGCCCGCGCGGCCCGGTCCTGCACAGGTTCGCGCGGGCGGCCTGCAAGACCTCCTGCAAGGGCACCCCCTTCACCTCGAGGCGGGGGTTCTGGGTGCAACGGAGGTTGTGACGTTTGGCTTCCTTGTTCTCTGTGGGAGGATGCGGGATGTGGGATGGGGAGGGGAGGGAGGGGAGGGAGGGATGGAGAGAGGACGAGGAAAAGGAGGTTGTGGAGGCCCGTAAGCGGGGCCAGCTGCCGTCGCACAGGGCTCGGAAGGGGAAGGATGAGGAAGAGGTGGAAGAAAAGAGGGAGGGGCAACATACCGTCACATCGCTTAAGGCAGCGTGAATGGGTACCACGCACTGCTGGTTACTGAGACAAGGCTACACGCGCGCGTCCTCGCCTGCGATTGCCGATGTGTAATGTCCTCCAGCAAGCTGTGGCTGCCGTGAGCACGGAAAGGGGGGAGGTGATAAAGGGAGAGGCCATGCCGATAGAAAGACAACCACCAAAAGCCAGGGGCGGCAGCTAACGCTGACACGTGCACGCGCCTGCACTCCTGGGCCACAGTGGAGCCATCCTCTGATAAGAAGGCGGATGGCTGGTGTGGTCAAGCCCTGTCCCGCTCAGCAGCCAGAGTGAGTCAAAAAGTGCCTCGGCAGGCAGCAGAGACGGGCCCAATGCCCATCGCGAATCGAGGAAGAGGGGGGACACATAGAAATCGCCATCATCTGCAGGAGGAGCAAGAGGCTGGGGGCGCAACCAGAACCCACGACAGCACCGTAGATGGAACAGAAGAAGAAACACATTGTCCGCCGAGCCTCCATTTTGAATTATGGCCTGCCGTCCCAGACCCCCTGGTTATGCAGGCAGTTGACTCGAGAAACGGCTGCTTGGGCCAACGTGCAAATACACGTCGGTCGGAAGAAGTAGGTAGAAACATGAAATAGGAAGGCGGATAAAGTGGGTTGGGTCCAGGCCCTCCCAGAGAATAACAAAACACAACAAAAACATGTCGATTCTTGAAGTAGGAAGGCGCTGAAAGTAGATTTGAATCTGGGAATCCAGAAATACCTACTTTCAACGACCGATGGGTAAAACATGGCGCATAGGGGGCCTGGGGCGGGGCCACGCAGGGACCACGTCTGGGGGAGGCCGCAGTCCCGCAGAGAGACCTCCGAAGTAAAGGGGCCCCAGAACACACAAATAAATATACACAAATAAAAATATGCCCCATACTTTCCTATATTTTCTGGGTTTTTGTCTTCCCCCCACTTCCCATATTTTCGCATATTTTCTGGGGAATCGACGATTAATTGTGTCTGTGTGTTTTTTTCCCTCCTGACGAAGGGAAGCGTGAGATTGCAAAGCCGAAGGTCTCCATTCAAGGAGAGGGAGGAGCAGAGGAAATACATGGAAGGCAAGGGTGGAGGGATCCAGCCGCAGTGCGTCAGGGAATGCGCCTCGGGAAAGAGAGGCAAGTGCGGACTCCTCTGGCCCTACGCGACTTTGAATAAAAGCCTGTGTGCGAGACTCCCCCCCGTACAATGGATTGCGCGGCATGGCAACGTACGGGCGCCCGGGCGCTTGGAGAGGCGCGGCAGCGCAGTGGCCATGTCTAGGGAGACAGGACAATCTCCCAGAGACCTCCTTAGGGGAGGTATGAGATTGCCGAGCCATGCGCAACTAACGAGGGCAGGGAGAAGACTTGACAAGGGCTACCCTGTCAAGAGAAGAATGCA